TGGAACTCCCTAGCTTTCTCCATGATCCAGCCTATGTTGGCAATTTGATCTCTAGTTCCTCTGCCTCTTTGAAATCCTGCCTGTACTTCTGGTAGTTCTCGATCCACATACTGCTGGAGCCCAGCTTGTAGGATTTTAAGCATAACTTTACTAGCATGTGAAATGAGTGCAATGGTGTGATAGTTTGAACATTCTTTGGCATTGCCTTTTTTTGGAATTGGAAAGTAAACTGACCTTTTCCGATCCTGTGGCCACTGTTGAGTTTTCCAAATTGGCTGGCAAATTGAGTGTAGCACTTTTACTGCATCGTTTTTTAAGATTTTGAATAGCCCAGCTCGATTACAGTCTCTCCCACTAGCTTTGTGGTTGCTGAGATTTCCTAAGGCCCATTTCACTTCACATTCTAGGATGCCTGGCTCAAAGTCAGTGACCACCACATTGTGGTTATGAGGGACATTAAGCTTGTTCTTGTATAGTTCTTCTGTGTAATTTTGCCACCTCTTCTCAATCTCTTCTGCCTCTGCTAGATCCCTGCTATTTTGGTCCTTCATCTTTGCATGAAACGTTCCCTTCATATTTCCAATTTTCTTGAAGAGATCTCTGGTCCTCCCTATTCTTTTGTTTTCTTCTATTTCTTTGCACTGTTCATTTAAGGAGGCATTCTTATCTCTTCCAGCTATTCTCTGGAATTCTGCATTCAATTGAATGCATCTTTCTCTTTCTCTCCTGCCTTTTGCTTCCCTTCTTTCCTCAGTCGTTTGCAAAACTTCCTCAGACAGCCATTTTGCTTTCTTGCATTTCTTTTCTTTGGGATGGTTTTAGTTGCTACCTCTTGTACAATGTTGTGAACCTTTGCCCATAGTTACTTCAGGCACTCTGTCTATCAGATGATCTAATTCCTTAAATCTATTTGTCACCTCTACTGTATATTCATCAGGGATATGATTTAGTTCATACCTGAGTGGCCTAGTGCTTTCCCCTAATTTCCTCAATTTAAGCCTAAATTTTGCAACGAGAAGCTCATGATCTGAGCCACAGTCAGCTCCTGGTCTTGTCTTCACTGACTGTATCTTTGGCTGCAGAGCACATAGTCAATCTGATTTCTGTGTTGACCGTCTGGTGATGTCCATGTGTGGAGCCATCTCCTGGGTTGTTGGAAAAGAGTGTTTGTTGTGACCATTGTATTCTCTTGGCAAAATTCTATCGGCCTGTGCCCTGCTTCATTTTGTACTCCAAGGCCAAGCTTGCCTGTTATTCTGATTATCTTTTGGCTTCCTACTTTAGCATTCCAATCCCCCATGATGATAAGGACATCCTTTTTTGGTGTTAATTCTATAAGGTGCTGTAGGGCTTCATAGAACTGTCAGCACCAGTGATTGGGGCATAGGCTTGGACTACTGTGATATTGAATGGTTTGCCTTGGATTTGAACTGAGATCATTCTGTCATTTTGGGGATTGCTTTTCCTACTCTTTTATTGACTATGAAGGCTATTCCATTTCTTCTGAGGGATTCTCGCCTGCGGTAGTATTCCTGATGGTCATTTGAATTAAATTCACCCATTCCTGACCATTTTAGTTCACTGATTCCTAAGATGTCGATGTTCAGTCTTGTCATCTCGTTTGATCATGCCCAATTTGCTTTGATTCGTGGATCTTACATTCCAGGTTCCTATGGCGAATAGATCTTTACAGCATCCGACTTTCCTTTCACCACCAGATGCATCCACAGCTGAGTGTCCTTTCAGCTTTGGCCCAGTCACTTCACTCTTTCTGGCGCTACTAGTACTAGCCCTTGTCTCTTCCCCAGTAGCCTATTGGACACCTTCAGACCTGAGGGGCTCATATTCCAGCGTCTTATCTTTGGGGTTTTTTCTTATCTTTGGGGTCCATGGGGTTTTGATAGCAAAGATACTGGAGTGGGTTGCCATTTCCTTCTCCAGTGAATCACATTTTGTCAGAGCTCTCTGCTATGACCTGTCCGTCTTAGGTGGCCCTGCACGACAAAGCTCATAGCTTCATTGAGTTATGCAAGCCCCTTCGCCATGACAAGGAAGTAACCCATGAAGGGGTTTGGAGCAGATCTGTTCAAAGAATTCCCATTAAACTCAGTTTCCCCCCCCCCCCCCCCCTTCTCTCTTAATCTCTCCCAGAAGCCATTTCGGAAGATGAGTGGAATTTGCTGTACGTCGCTGTCACTCGAGCCAAGAAGTGTCTCATCATACCCAAACGTCTTGCTAATATCCTAAAAAAAACCAAGGTGAATTCAAGCCCTTCCCAATGCAGGCGGTCCTTGACTTCATTTAGTGACCATTCAAGGTTACAATGGCACTGAAAAAAGGGACTTCACACTAATGATGATTCCATCATCCCCATGATCAAAACCTGGACACTTAGCAACTGACTCATATTTATAATGATTGCAGTGTCCCGGGATATGTGTGTGCGTGTGTGTGTTTAGCCACAGTAATATTGGGCTCAATTATCATCATAAGTCGAGGACTTCCTGTATTCCAATGCTCAGGAAGAAGCCCTTTGGTTTCCTAGCTGGCTAAACGCTTCTGGTGTTTGTTTGTTTTTGCCCAAGGACTACTGCGTCCAGTTTGAATTAGCCACCGCAGGGGGCAATACGACACCGCTGGTCTGTTCAGAAGGCGAATGCCGCAACTCCATCCCAGCGGATTCTCTGCTAATCCAGAAAAGGGTACATTTTTTTAACGTACGTATCTTCTTTTAGTAAGCAACTAGCTCAGTAATATAACCTAGTAAGGCCACACGTGGAATGCAGCATCCAGTTTTGGTCACCGCGTTACAAAAAAAGTGTGGAGACTTTGTAAAAAAGAGCAGAGAAGAGCAGCTAAGACGATTGAAGGCCTGCAGACTAAAAACTATGTTTCTGGTCAACTTCTCTTACAAACAGGACTTGGAAATATTTCCCTCTCTTGCCATTGTTCCTTGCAGCGATGATTTGGAGGCAGACTGCTCTCCATTCGGAGTAACATGGAGTGTAGGGTCGTTGGTGCTCTTTGAGCCTGGTTGTTTTCTTGCGGACATTTTATTACCCAACTAAGTAACATCATCAGTACTAAAAAGTTTGTGCTAGGAGGCTTCTAGCACTGAGGTTGTTACCTGTTGGGTAATAAATGTCTGCAAGAGAGCACTAAGGACCCCACAGTTCTCTTCCTCCCCCAATCCCCCTCCCTTCTAGCATTGATGATGTTCCTTAGTTGAGTCATGAAATGTCTGCAAGGAAACCACTCAGCTCAGAGAACACCCAGGACCTCACAGTCCTCCTCCTCCTCCTCCTCTCTGCAAGCCTTACTCCCTTCTAGCATTGAGGATGTTGTGCAGGGGTGGGATTCAACCGTTTTGGCGCTGCATTTGAAAACCGCCCATTTTATACTGCAGCCCTGTTGAGTGAAACAGCTGAGGTGCGGCAAAACCACTCTGCTGCACGAATCAGCTGAGCTGCAAAACACAGAAATATAGAACAGATTTGCACAGGGGCGGGTGGGCGGGACCAACGGATTGCCAGAACGACCAGTTTGCCTGAACCAGTCCGAACTGGCTGAATCCCACCCCTGATGTTATGTAGAGGGTCATGAAATGTCTGCAAGAAAACCACCAAGCTCAGAGAGGAGCCCACAGTTCAACCCTAAGCTACAAATATTCTCATCTATAGTAACTCCAGAATCAGGACGATGCTATTTAGAGCCACGTCCCATGAATGCTGGTGGCGGGGACATCATCTGTATCCTGAACCTCACTGGGTTTTTTCCTTCTTTCTGGCAGATGGACGGCACCGAAACCCCTGAAGGATTTCTTTGCCTTTCTTGCGCCTGCTCCAAACATGGCCCAATTGCACAGCTCGCAGGATCTTCCAGGATGGACCAGGTTGTGCCCAGGCTCCCAGAAGGCACTGAGGTTCCACCTGAGGTTCAGAGCCTCCTTGAAGACTTTTGAGTACTTCAAACAAAGAAACAAAAATTGCACTGAGTGATTTTCAAGCCAAACGAAAGCAAGGAAGGTAGAAAGGAAGGTATCCTATTGATTTGGGATTTGGGATCTTAATTCCAGGTTGCTTCTTTAGAATAGAAATAGAATAGGAATAGAATAAAGAATAGGAATAGGAATAGAATAAGGAATAGGAATAGAATAAGGAAT